GACCTATTTTCCTCTTTTTTTCTGTTATGGAAAAGAAAAATAGCGGACAGACATAATTTTTAATTTGGATTACTGTTATACAATTAAATTATCAAATAATAAGAAAAATAAGTTATTTGTAATTTAATAATTAAAACTACAATATGTAGAAAAATCTTCAAGTATATAAATGATTTTATGAGAAATTTTAAATATAAATGATTAATTAGCAAACAACTAATTTGCCAACCATAATTTTGCAAAGCATAATTTTAAAATCACTAATACAATCTACAGTTCAAAACAATTGATAAAATCCACTTTTCAAACAGCTGATACAATGTGCTAACCTCCAACAACTAACCATAGATTGTCAAATAAGCCCTCTATATTTTATAGTCTTGTCCAACCGGGGCACAAATGACCTTAAATGATAGTCTGAATACTCAATGCAAAAATTATTTGCTCAATAAAAAGAGAATTATTGGTTTCAAAATTTTACTGTAATATCAAACACATAATAGTTTATCCATGTGATGTAGCATCAACGTCATCGCTATATTCAAAAGACATACTTCAAAAATTAGCAGACTCAGCCAGTGATTATCACGTTTTGCTGTGTGTAAGTAAAGTGAAAAAGTGTATCTGAGTAACATGAACCTAATCACCAAGAAGGTACAATAAAAGCATTGGATGATTCTGTAAAACAACGAACCCTCAGCAGTCGATCTTCAGAGATGTGTCAATTCCTGCAAAGAATGAAACAACTGTTACTAGAATTACAAACACTGGTAATACGAGAGCCGAAAAACATAAGCTGGTCATGACTCATAAGTGTAGAACCACAAGAAAATGAACAGAATCAGATTTCCTGATGTTAGTATTCCAGACAGGGCACAACACTTAAATAATAACTCCACAGATTTAGGATCTCAAAAGTCTCTAATTCCTGGGAATAAACATCACTATTCACTTACTGTTGAATTGATTCCCCTACTAATTCAGATTTTTCCTAATTATTAAGTAAAACCTTATTAGTATTTCTGAATTCCAGCACTTGAAAGGCCTAAAGGATGGCAAGCTAAAGGAGATGTCATTTGTCACAGATTTGCTCTGTGAAGAGAATGTTGAGGTAACCTCCATGACTGCACTAACAGAAGTCTAATTTGCTTGCATCAAATCAAACATAAACATGGAAAATCTAGATGCTAATTTTACAAGAAACAACTAGCACAACAGAAAAGAAAAGCCGACTATCTCCAAAATATCCACACCTTTCTTTCATGGCCAGAAAGACAACAGCAATTATTCCAGGAACATTAAAGATGGTTGAACTTGTCTTTCTACAAGGCTATGGCCTCAACAAAGGACCTTAAAAATTGCAAGGGACCAAGCCAATAAGGAAAAGGCTTGCCAATATGCCATCATTGTGCATGAACTAGTCTTAAATATAGTTATGCAAAAAAGGTAAGGGACTATTTAATCTTGGCATTTAACAATAGGCAAATTTACTCGGCACATGTTATGGCGCTATTTTTTTGCCGTACATTGGTCATAAATCACATCCAAAGAAATAACAACTCTAGACGCAATTCATTTAATAAATCTTCTAATGAGCCAGAAGGCACAGAACACCTAGGGACAAATCTTCACGCACGTGTGTACAATTCAAGGTAACAAGAAAGACAAATAATTAATTACCAAAACTTAATTTATATGGATCTTGAATTTTTGAGGAAGTAGAAAGGTTCATTCAAACATCAGTTAAACTACCTAGGGTGGTACTCCATGGGCATCATCCAAATATCAAACTCAAAGAAGAAGACTGGGTACGACTTTCCCATCTTCCTGATTCAGTAAAAGACTTAATGACATTAGCAGGTGAGCAATTTTTGTGACAATAATGGAAGATCTTCACCAGTCGCATGTACACGACACTGGAAGTCAGAAAGTGCAATTCCAAAACTGTAAAATGTTCATATTGCTCCTTCCAGTCCCATCATACTTTCAATAATTTAACTTATCCAAATATATGCTAACTGAATTAAGTAGGAGAAGAAAACCAAAATTCTGTCTCACTCTTATATGGGTAACTAATACATTCAATGAACACAGAGTAGAAGCTTGCGAGAGAAAGATTCACAATTCTGATGGTTCTCAAGTGGGACATAAGTGCTCTGAGAGACAATGGTCACTTATAATTTTTTTAGGCATCAAACTTCAGAATGCACAATTACTCTAACATGTTGATTAGAAGGTAATAAAGCACAAGTCAATATATCATATGGTATTTGTTAATGCTACGTGCTACTTTCTGAATTATGACATTAAAAACAGCAAGGAATATATACATGTATAGACTTTCAATTCATTGTGAAGAAAAATGCAAACCTTAGAGAGTCAATTGATATCACGGCCATGAAGCATGTCAAGAACCGCTAAAGCAGCTTTCTGAAAATTATCTTTCTCTTCTTCTAAAACAACCTTCCTCTGAAGAGCAGCATCTTTGGTCTTCTCTATCTCCTCTCTTATGCCAGCAGAACTTTGATCAATTTCACTGTCACATTCGAGAACAAGTGAGTAATCTAGAACACAATGAGGAAATTATGAAGTTGTACTTATTTGCAACAGTAATTGAATCTAAATTGAGGATGGCTCAATATAGAGAAGGCTGACATGGTAGAGAATATTAAAACCAGCTATATTAAAATCAAGGTTGTACTATCCATGAATAATAGTTATGCAGCAATTAAAGCATGCAAACATCTATAAGTTGAAACATGCTTGGTCAGCTAAGAGCTCACTTTGTCATCTTAAGCATGTTGTCCATCGCAACTTGCGCATTTTGAGAGAGATCTGTACATCTCAAATAAAATCGTTTTTGTGAGATTAAATAAACTGTTATAATTAAGCAGGCATCATAAATGGTAAAGTTGATGAAAATGCTCTGATTTTTCAAACATATTACATGGACATATACGGCAACACATCATATTCACGACCTTTGCACATCTATTACAGAGATACTCAGAAAAATAGCACAAACCTAAACGGAGAAATCTCGTCACCGGGAATAAAAAATGACTGCACAAACTTTCGAAAATAAATCAATTACGAGGAAGTATTACGCAATTTACTGATGGAAGGAACTCAAAACAAACAATGATTCTCCATAGAGCAGCGCATAGATAAATTCGAGCCGCGTTTTTAATTTGTAGGTATCGGACTAAAAACCCGATGTACAGAAAAATCAGGCCATAGCTTGAATCATAAGAATACTGCCTAGGCTACAAACACACGATTTGCATCTGTACGCATATGCGCGCTCGCGCTAACGCAATGAGAAGGCTTACAGTAAACGAGAGAAGCCAGCTGAGACTCGGCGGCGGAAGGAGGCACGAGATCCTCGCCGGCCGGTGGTGGTGATAGCGACATCCTTTGATCCTTTAGAGAGAGAGAGAGAGAGAGAGAGAGAGAGAGAGAAGGAAATTGAGGGCGGGAGTTTTCAGCTATAACGAGGGCTTTACAGTTTCAGCAATATGCCGTTCGTAATTTTTCTTTATATCTCCTCCTTTTCTAAGACCAAGTTTATTCACAAATCACAATCCAAACCAACCCAATTAAGTAAATTATTGAGTTATGAAATTCTCTCCAATGGCGCTCAAATTCTCTCAACGGGAGTGTTACAGTAAACTAGTATGTATCCCGTGCGATGTACGAAAGAGTTAATTATTTAATTTTTTTAGAATTTATTTTAAATATAATTGTTAATATTTTTTACATCTTATCTCATTACAAAATTAAAATAAATAAAAAAACAAAGAAAAATTATATATTATTAAACAATTCTCCTTATGCAACATATTTTATTTAATGAATATTATTGAACCTTTTAGTTTTCATTTTTTGTTTTTTAAAATCTATTAAGTTTAATGTACAAAAGGTAATGAAATGAATCCAAAATTTAAAGTAGAGCTATTTTTTTTTTCTTTAACAAATCAAAA